ATCCAAATATAAATCAATTTACAACATAGGTGCCAAGCAATTCAATGGGGGAAAAATCTCTTCAATAAATTTTACTGTAACAATTGGATAGATGTATTAACTATTAACTTTAACTCTTACCCCACACCCAAACACACACACACACACACACACACACATATACACACACAATAATTAACTAAAATCACACATGGAACTAAATGTCAGAGCCAAACTATAAATCTGCCAGGCAAAAACATTAAAGCTTAGTGATCTTGGATTTGATAAAGATTTCTTGAACTTGTCACTAAAGGCACAAACTCTAAAAATTTTAAAAATCAATAAACTAGATGAGTAAATTTTTTTAAAAATTGCTATTCTAAAGACACTATTAAGAAAATGAAAATGCTAATCACAGACTGGGAGAATACAGTTGAAAAATTACATCTGATAAAAGACATATCTAGAATCCACAAAGATTTCTTATAATTCAATTTTAAGAAGAGAACCCAATTAAAAATGGCCGAAACATTTTAACAGATCCTTCACCAAAGAAGACCCCTGGAAGGCAAATAAACTCATGGAAATATAATCATGAAGGAAATGCAGATTAAAATAACAATGAGATGCAACAATATATTCACTAGACTGTCTAAAATTAAAAAGATTGACTGACTATGGCTGGACATACACCTATAATTGCAGTGGTTTGGGAGGCCGAGGCAAGAGGATCACAAATTCAAGGCCACTACTGAACTATTTATTGTTCACTATTCAATCTCCAGTATTATTCAAGCAATTTATAGAGGCCCTGTTTCAAAATTAAAAAAGTAAAAAGGGCCAGAGATGTGGCTCAGTGATTAAGTACTTCTGGGTTAAATCCCTGGTACCAAAAAAAAAAAAAAAGATAAAAAATTAAACATTTATTGAAGAAGGTACTCTGTGTGTATGATACTAGACAAAGAAAAAAAAAAGATTGTGCCAAGTATTGTCAAGAATGCAAGATAATTGTAACTGCCATACACTCCTCATAGGAACATGAACTGTTACCACTGCTTTCGAAAAGTTTGGTAATTTTTTTAAATGTTAGATATTGGCCATGTGACCAAGCCATTCCTATTCTAGATATCTGCCCTAGGGAAATGAAAATACATATTCACACAAAGACTTGTACATGAACGTTCATGATATCTTTATTTATAATAGCCCCAACCTGGAGACAATTAAAATGTACATAAATAATGAGTGGATAAACAAATTGTGGTACATTCATACAACGGAATTTTAATCAGCAAATAAAGAAATGAACTATTGATACACAAAGGTCATGAATGAATCTCATTATTATGTGGAGTGAAAGAGTAAGACAAAAAAATGAATGTACATAGTATAATCTCACTTCTAGAAAATTCTAAAAAATGTAAACAGTCTGTAGAGTAAAAATGTAAACTAGAAAAGTAGATCAGGGATTTCTTGGGACTAGTGTGGAATGGATAGGGAGGAGCAACAAGGAACAATCAATTACAAAGTAGCACAAGGAAACATTGGGGACAATGGATACACACACCTTCTGGATTGTAGAGATGGCTTCATGGATATTACATAGGTCAAAACTTTCCAGATGGTACACTTTGAATATGTGCAGTTGATTATATGTCATTTATGTACAAATATTGCACTTCATCATTACATACTGGAAAAATTTTGGCTTTAGCATCAGATATGTGAGTTTGAATGTAATTCTGCTCTTATGATGCAACCTTACATAAGTTACTTGAGTTTTGAGTGTCAATTTCTGTTTGTTTGTGTATTAGTAAGAATAATTCTATGTGAGGATAAGAATGTGTCAATGGCTTGTTGTATGATAACGTATATTATATTATTCTTAAACCTACTTCCATTCCTCTATGCTATGGGCATCCTTCTTGTATTTGACATGTGCCCTTGAATAGGTATGTATGTATTCATGTATATGCTTTAAGGTAATGAAAGGACGTTGTGTTATAGCTCTTACTTTTCTTTTTATTCTAAATGTTAAGGATATATTCTTGTTTATCTATAGATACCAATAAGGTATTTCTAACTACTGTGTTATTTTCCACATTATGTATCCACCAAACTTGACTCATCAGTTTCCTAAGAGTTGAACACTTCTATGTCCAACTGTCTGCTTAAAGAATAAAATGAATATCCTAGTACTTGTCTCCCTATGAATCTGCACAAAAAGTTTCCTTGAATGTATATCCAAAGTGAGAGAGCTGGACCATAGGACAGACAGGATTCATATTATTCAGTACATCCAGATTTTTCCCCAAAAGTGTTGAATCAATTTAGTCTTCCACCAGCACTTGAAATTAACGATGCTACTAATTTTTGCCAATACAATGGATATAGTATCTCACCTGAATTTGCATTTCTCAGATTACTATTAAGTTTGAGCATCTCTTTTTACTCTTATTAGCTTCTCAGTTTTTCCCTTTGTAAATTACATTCTTATCGTCTGCTCATTTTTATATTGGGCTCATGTCTTTTACTTTTTGAAGTACCATGAAATGTCTGTTAATGTCATTAATGTTATGCATTGCAAAAGCTACTTCAGTCTGTCACCAGCCTGTGAGCTTTAAGGTGTTATTTACTGACTAGAAATCTTTCATTTTAATATAGACATAAGCACCATTTCTTAGCCTAGAACAGTTCTTTAGAAATTTTTTTATTGTATTTGAGAAAAACATTTCCTCACCCATATCTCATGCATAAACCTCCTACATTTTCTTCTATTAGTTCATACTTTTGCCTTTTCATCCAACTTTAATCTTTCTGGAGTCCAACTTTTTGCAATGTAGGCATTTATTTTTTTCCATACGATGGGACAATGTCTCAATACCATCTGCTAAAGTTTGTTCTGTCTCCGTTATGTAATGTTGCCTCTTTACCAAATATCACTCACATTATTTTTATGAAAGAGTAATGCTCCTAGAAGGGTAATGACCCAGAATAATGAGGGTTAAGAGAAATATCCCTGCCCATTCACCCTCAGGAGAACAGTGACACAGCTAATCGTGGGGTCAGCCTTCTGAAGCCACACACAAATAAAAAACCTTACACATACCTAGTGGTTCCAAACAATTTTTTTTGAATCAACTATAAAGAAAGAAGTAGTCTTATTAGGTTAAGTGCAACAGATACATTAAATAAATTCCTGCAATGTTTAGTAGCAGTTAATAGTTTCCATGTAATGTTACATAAATAACATGTTATGAGTATCATAATTACATTACACATCACATCCAAACTATACTTTAGCAATAGCTATTTAGGATGTGCCAATGATGTCCTTTGGTTCCAAAAGCTTTTGGTCCTTTTGGAACCAGAGGACATCATTGGCACATCATTTGCACTTCTATACTGTGCAAAAAATATGCAATTGTCCGTGGTGTGGGCCTGTTATCCACAAAGTTTTCCAGCTTTCCTAAAGCCTCCTAAAATTTGTGGAATGGTTTAGGGTACTTGATGTGATATACCCTCTAACTGGCAAATTTTCTGTAAGTAAGGAAAAAAATATAGGCAAAAATATTTCTGACTTATGGCTTAATTCAATATTCTATACATAGAAGTCCTAACAACAACAACAAAAAGTCCTTGTCTACCTGCCTGAGTGCACATGGGTTTACTGGTTGGAATTTACATAGAGGGAAATCTTCCATGAAAGTCATGGTCTATTTTTCTTTGCCTTTTTTTTTTTCAGAGGAAAATATACTGGAGGCTTCAAGGACTTCTATACTGTGCAAAACTTATGCAATTGTCCATGGAGTGCTTTTCTAAGACTATAGAGCACTGTGTACTTCAATGAGTATTTCTTCTTACCCTTGTGTTCAACTGGAAGCTATTTTGAAATTTTGTTGTATGGTTACATTGTCCAATGATGCTAAAGATGTACTTGAACTTTAAGAGCAGAAGATCAAATTGAATCCATCTAACAACACTTTAGCAATGCTTGTTACTCAGAGATTTCTTGAGTGTTACAGTCAGGCTTGGTGGCAGTTAAGTCTCCAAGAAGGAGTTCTCAGTTTTTCTTTGTGTCCTGATCTTGGTGGAAAACTTGCAAAGATTTATCATTATGGAACAGAAAGAACTGCAACTTGTTTTAAAATTTATATAGCTGATATGCTATTTTGCCAAAATTTATAGTCTATCATATTTTAGAAAGTTCTATATAATGTTCCATTTTGGAACCAAAGGACATCATTGGCACATCAGAATGGAACACATGCTCTCGCAGGAAGGAAACGTTATGATGTGAAAGAGGCACATACCTTCCCCTGCTTTTAGTTCTTTTCAACATATATAGACTAAGCTTTAAATAATGGCCAATAACTGAGCCGTGTTGAAATCACAGCTGCAGATTTGGGAAAGAGTTATAAAGGATGCATATGTTGTGGCATATATAGTTGATGCATGATAACATAACACACAAAATATGATAGAGCACGAATTTTACCATAGAGTACATATCAGATATGTGAATTGCAGAACAAGTAACAGCTGTTTTGATTCTGTAATGGTGAATTACTGTAAACTTTTCACTGATATCAGAACAAAAGAAAACTACGAACTCCATCTTGCAGACTTGTAGATTAACTACCACTATGTCTCAAGATATCTCCTGATGTCTTTTTGACTAAGGATGTTTGTCTAATGTGAAGCTAAACAAAGTGGTAAAATTTCAAACATGCCTTTAGGATAAAAGTTAAAAAAGAAATAAACTTCTGATGAGTGAATGGGAAAAGATCTACATTTTCTCCACACATACACACACAAAAAGAAAATCTACACTTTTTTCCTACTGAACTTTTCCTAGGACATGGCACATGGTTATCATTATATTCCTTGATCTCCTAATATTTTGAATATTTCTGAAATCCATATCTGTGACATTGGAAATTCCATTTTGACATTATAGAGAAAATTTCCTAAGTTAAAATAGCATGTTATATGTGAAGAACTTAAGTAGGCACTACATGTCCAAATCATATGTAATTTTTATTAAGTAATATGTAAAGATCCCACATTGTGTATTTAATAATTTACTTCAATATATTCTTTTAACTCAGCAATCATGTATTTCCAATATCATCAAAAATAGTTTATTTCTACTTGCCATAAAATATTCTGAGAAAAACATTTTACTAACTGTAAAATACTAGAGTGTTCTGATCTATTCTGAATCCATTGCTAGTATCATGATTGAATCATTACTGATGCAGCTAATAGGTTACTTAAAACCTGTTAATTAAATCTATTAGGAACAATAGAAAAAAGCCACACGATCACCACAAAAGGAAAGAAACAAAAATAAATTAGAATTTACGTAACAAAAAGCATTTTCCATTTGAAAAATATTTATATATGAAATTTTCATCAATTTTATAAAGGTAACAAATTTCATTTACTATAGAGGGACGAATTTAAATATGAACTCAAAATAACCCAAACCGTCAAGTATAAAGATTCAGCACAGTGTTCTTAAAAGTGGACATTTAACCAAACAATCATCTGGCTCATATAATAATTCATAGATTATATTTATAATTATTTTGTCATTCTAACCTGGTCTATTTCCAGTCTTCTTGCAGAAGGTACAATGATGAGCAGGAGTATATGCTTGTGATTCCTTAGTAAGCCAAATAACTTATTCAGTGGACTTAGCTTAGCAGAAATCCTCATAATGGAATGGTGTGAAAATGCAAATATGCAATATCCACTTAAGTTTTATTTTTTAACAATGGATAAACTATTAGCCTCATTTCTCATGTAGGCATAACATCTTTCCATGTGAGCATGGCAAGTTTTGGGTGTTGTCATCCTAATGCATTCCTGTGAAACTGGTCAGGTCTGACTTATTTTCATTTTACAGACGTAGGCCCAAGCCACCCACCTCATACACTGTACCTTCTCCTCATTTGGCATTTTTTTTGGGAGGCAAAAACTATGATCTACATTCAAATATTCTCATCATCTCATGTTCCCTCTGCCTAGAATCTTCTTCATTTGGTAAAAACTTATTCATTTTTACTTTTAATTCTGAAATCAACTAATAATCTCTGAAATAGATTCTACTGAAATAGATTTAATTATTCCTGACTATGATCCTTCTAGCACTTTTCTTATAACTGTTGACATAACATTTATTGTATCAGGTCAGTTGATACACACACCTGCTTCCTCCTACTAGGGCAGACATCTTTATATCCCTCCCACAAAGCCTCGTACAGGGCCTGGCATGAAATAGCTGTTTAATATTTTCTTAAAATTGAGTGACTCCTACAGACAACGGGTAAGAAAGACTGGGTATTTTAACTATTCATGTTCTTGAAATAGATCTTGTAGTGGAAGAGAAAAAGGCTTAAGGGTGAAGCAGGATGTTAATATAAAATCATAAACAGTGATTAAGCATGTAGATAAAGGAAGAAAAGAAAAGGCCCAAATCCAACCCCACCAGCACTGGTGATATCACAGGTGAATTTAATCATAAGCAGGCATACTGTTGGCCATTCAAAGAAAATAATTTCATTCCTGATTAATGAATGATTTCTTGCTTAACTACATAATTTTGTTGTATGCACGCTTGAAGACAGAAAAATGGGAAGGATGTTATTAATAAAGAGAATCTATTATTAATAAAGAGAAACCAACCCCATGGATACTGGCAATTCAGCTATTCTTTTCAGAAAGGACCTCCAAGAGAACATACCTTTCATAATCAGTCTGGTGAGGGGAGAAATGTATAGTAAATACAAACAAGAAAATAGTCCTAGAGTCCCTATCTCACACCAATTGCCCTGCCAAGAATTTTTGCAAATTCACCCGATTCACTTGCATGAGCCATATATCATGACCCCTACTTAATAGGGAAGGAAATTTAAGATGCGAATGCTTGAATGACTTGTGGAGGTTGCAAAGTTAGTGGGGGAGCTTTGGTTAATCCAAGTTTTGGAGATCTTCCTAGGATACTGGATATCAGCCTCCTTTTGCATTTGGAAACAGTTACTCACCTACTGCATTACACAAGAATTATTCTCATTTTAAGAAACTTTGTTTAAGCTATGTTTCACATTTGCCAAATTGTAGTTTGATGATGCCTTTCATGTGAAGGTGGAGGAACTGGCTATATTCTTTGGGCATCTTATGGAAACCGCGCTTAGGCAACTTATTGTCATAGTAGTGATGGCTGACAGGTGTGTTCTCCACGGTCTTAGAGAAGGGCCAAAACCCATACAGCTTCACATTTTCACACATTTCCACTGCGACACTTGCGATCATCAAGCCGGTAGACAAGCGGTATGCATCCACACCTTTAGTTCTCCAGAAAAGGCCAAGCTGTTTCAGGTACTTGGGATGGAAAAAGAGAACCTTCTGTCTTGCTTTAGACTCTCTGAGTGTGTGGTACACTTTTAAGGAGGGGCCAGTGTTTGCCCTGTAGGAAAAGGCTGGCAGAAGAAGGAACGTGTCTCCGTAGGTTGCAATATCCTGCAGAAATTCTGCTTTCTTCTTTAAGTTCTGGTATCTGCCAAATTTTTAAAAAATCATAGTCGTCAAAGTAATAATAATCAGAGTTAACAATTTGGGGAACATGAGGATGAGTTTACCTCTAGTCAAAAAAGAGCTAAACTATGAACTCTGAAAAATCATGCAAGCATCATGAAAATATCAAGAGTTATATCTCCCTTGGAATATCTAGGTTTTCAAGTTCTACTTTCTTACTGGACCATCCCCTTACTGGACAGACATTTCTTGTATTATTTAGTAGTCCTCCTCAATCATCTTTTTCTAACATTGCTTTCTGATGTTTTAACGTCTTCCAAATGTACAACCAAATTTTTTTCAAGCATTTGAAAAATTCATTGAGCTATACATTTGTTATTTGTGCACATATTATAAATATTGAATTATAAAATAGAAATTTCCTTTAGAAAGCCTGAAACACATGTGGGCAAATTTAGGTATCCATTTATATTAGGTTAAAATTTTCTGTATGCATTAAGCTATCACTATTATATATTTCAGAAAGGATACCTTAGTAAGTGTTACAGTGAGAATGATTTTTCAATATCTACTAAAGTAAGCTTTTGGAAGGCAGGTACAATATAGTTTTCCCTCAAGAGATTCTGGAACTGTTTGGAGGGGCATATTCTATTAATAATGATCATCAGTCACTTTTGATGAAAACAACAAAGTAAACCTATGGTTGGGATTTTTATGAGCCAATCGACATTTTGCAGCAGCCACACTGCAGATATGAAACACAGGAATTATTTTTATGTAATTTTTTTATTTATATAAGACAGCAGAATACATTACAATTCTTATTACATATATAGAACACAATTTTTCATATCTCTGGTTGTATACAAAGTATATTCACACCAATTCATGTTTTTATACATGTACTTTGGATAGTAATGATCATCACATTCCACCATCATTAATTACCCCATGCCCCACTTCCACTCCCACCCTTCTGTCCTATTTCTCCCATGTTCCCTCTCCCTATCCCAGAATCAGCCTCCTTATATCAAAGAAAACATTCAGCATTTGGCTTTTAGGGATTGGCTAACTTCATTTAGCATTATCTCCTCTAACTCCATCCATTTACCTGCAAATGCCATGATTTTATTCTCTTTTATTGCTGAGTAATATTCCATTGTGTATATATGCCACAGTTTTTTATCCATTCATCTATTGAAGGGCATCTAGGTTGGTTCCACAGTTTAGCTATTGTGACTTTATAAACATTGATGTGGCCGTGTCTCTGTAGTATGCTTTTTTTAAATCCTTTGGGTATAGACCGAGGAGAGGGACAGCTGGGTCAAATGGTGGTTCCATTCCGAATTTTCCAAGAAATCTCCATACTGCTTTCCATATTGTCTGCACCAATTTGCAGTCCCACCAGCAGTATATGTATGAGTGTATCTTTTCCCCCACATCCTCGCCGACCACAGGAATTATTTTGTCAGAGATAAACTATTCAATGTGAAAACTGTATTTTGCCAGGCTGTCCTAGGGCTTACCCCCAAATGTCTAAATACAATAAATTTTATGAAGAAAGTGCCACGAAATTAAAAGAGTAATGATAAAATAATGCTAAAACTCTGAAAGAACAGGGAATAAATTAACTTCACTAATATTGAAAAAGGATAAAGAGATAAATAAGTTCTCGTTTGATCAGAAACACCTAGCTTATGACATTAGGAGCACAACTGAGTCATACCTTTGATGAACCACAACCTCTGTAGGATGTCAAAATTTGCTAATGTATTCTTTTGTATTTTCCCCCAAAGCCATTCCAGCTGTATTGCAAGTCATCCGTAGCAAAGAGATTAGCACTTAGACTGAGAAACATGTTAAACAATGAAAAAGTATTCTTGAACAATTATGTAATTTGGAGATACTTACTTTAGCATTATTATACTGGGATTTATAGTCACAAGACTGGTTTTACTGCCAACATCTTGACTAACATTTCCGTTGGTTGGAGGGATGTTACACCTGAAATATGTAAGAAAAACTATTTTCAAAATATAACTTGTAAGAAACAAGTATATATATCTCCAAACCTAGGATAAATGTTCCTATGTCAGAGAAAATCATTGCTTTTAAAAGAGAACCTCAGAATCCATTTGATTTCCATTTAAAACTATTTAATAAGTACTGAACTCGTAGCTGACATTTCAATGTTATGTAAAATATACAAATTTATAAGTACTTTCAATATTTTCAGTACATTTTATGAGCATCAAAACCAGAAATGACAACTACACCTTGCCTAGCTTTTGAAGAGACTTTAATCCTTTTATTAAAATCATCACTTATATTGATTATATTTCCACAGTGGTATGATAACTAATTTACAGACTTAAAAATAAAATTTGAGGTGCTGCAATCAAGGTGTTAGCATCTTCCAGAAACAAAGACTATATAAAAACATCAAAATCTCCCAATTTCCATATGGACAGTTTTGCACCAAATTATAGCATTAATAAATAAAACCTTAATGTTCTCATAGTGACAATGACATACTGATTTTCTCATCTTCCTTTGAGCAATAATTTGTTTTTACATTGAAAACCAAGTGAAGAAATCTAATTTAGAGTATATTTTAATAAGGAGAAAGGGGGAAGATGATTCTGACTCCCTAAATATATTTGAAATTTGAAGTGGCTCATCTCTTTAAAGCTAAGCAGAAAAAGAGAACACCAAGTGCTTCCTAAGGAAGGCTAAAATAATGTGACTGAGGCTGAAATGTTCTGTTCCAGGCCATATGAAACACAGGGAAAAATGAAACAAGCACTTTCCTCTTTGATACAAAAGATACACCAGAAAATAAATACGGCACCTTGGGGAAGTAAATGTCAATTATAGATAGGAGGCCAAAGCAATGACCTTATTAGTGGGCCTCCTCTATCAACCCACAGTCCCTTTCTTTTGAAGAATCAAAAGTGATTTCCAAGATAGTACCACAGGAAACTCTTAGGGGAAATATACATATTACATATCATATAGATACATGGTCACAATAGTATGGTTGTAGCATAGGAATACTATAGTTATTGACTAATTTTCATTCCTTACACATTTAAGTTGTAGCTCCAAATTTTTTGAAATGGAAAAAAACAAGCAGCTTTCAAATTTTCTTATAAACTATCAACATGCATAGGCAAAATAATTTCTATCTTAAAAAATTAAATAAATTCTAATGATATCAACCACACCTAACCCTCATTTTGCCTTTCAGTTTGAGTGGCCAACTTCAAAAGGAACTCTCTGTTCAGAAAAACATCTGGCATCAGCAAAAGTAAAATCTAGAGGCAAAGGCATTTATTTTGGAGTTATAAATGAAATAACTGCTGAGACTGTTTTGTTTGTTTATGTTTTGAACCCAAATTTGTATCTCCTATACTTGCTATAAAGTAAAATCAATGTTTAGACATAATATTCAACACAGATGTTTGGGGAATTTTAGGTCTATAAAAAGTCTATTGCAAGAAAGGTTATTTATCTTCATTATGGGTTTTTCCACACTGGGAATTTGACTGAAATGGCTATCTTAACATTGACCATGAAGAACACATTCAATAACTGTAGGTCTGTCATTTTCTTCAGCGTAAAATTTTAAAATGAGATTCAAGTGAGGAGGAGCTATTTATTGAAAAATTATAATCTTGTTTTCAACTGATAAAAGAAGTAATGTTAAAGCACGAGGGATCAAAAGACCTCTGATATATAAAATCAATACTCCTAAAACGGAAAGAAACAGGTTTCTTCCAACTCTTTTAAAAGGTGCATTTCAATTGAAAACCATCCTCAGATGGATGAATCACCTTTCTGTCATACTTTGAGAGTGGAAATGCTTTGTAGCATGGCTTATTAGTATGAGGCACACATAGAAACCACTTTTGTTTCTATTTTTGTAAACTAGAAATATCAAGATAAAAAAATGATTTAAAACCAGAATTGAGGGAACCTGCAAAAAATATTTTTTTAATTTCAAGACAGAAAATTAAACAATGATGTTCATGGCTTAAAGTGTCAAGATCAGCATTTTGCTTAGCTACTGGAGAACAACTTCTCTGACATTCTCTGTGAAAAAAAAAAAAGATCTTCAAGGTCAGATGAGACTGGGAATTACTCCTCCCTGGAGTCCTTCCCAGGGAGCAATGCTATCCATTCATTTAAGTGGTGAAGGCCCTGATAAGTTTTGTAATCCCAAACCCTCTTTCCCTATGATTTCTTTCTATCAACAGTAGATGAAGATGGCACGTTTTCAACTTTATGGTATGAACCTCATGAGCCATGTAATAATTCAGGCAAGCCTACCTGGGTAATCTGTGGATTTTAGCATACACAACAACTCAAAGTCAAAATTGACACAGGGTATATTTTCATTACCCCCTTTATCCAAATGATCTTTGGTTTCCAAGAAACTATTGACAAGTCTTACCTAAAAACAAAGTCAAATTTATCTATTTCAGTTCCGCAGAGAGAGTTATTCAGAATCCCCCCATTTCCAACCACGGCACACTGGTTATAAGGATACTCCACAAAGGGCTGGGACTAGAAGAAAAGAGTGGAAAACTAACATGAAATACCATTCATTTCAGAGCCACAAACACCATCAGCTTAATTCCAGTAACTTAACTCTTCATATATGCTAAGCAGAAGAAAAAAAAAAAAAAACAAAGCAAACTGATCAACTTATTATGGTTTCTAATAAAATATCATTCCATAAACCTGTTTGATTTCTCTTAAGAGGAAAAGACAGCACATAATATATACAATAAATCTAAGAGCACAAAGCATAACATATTTGCATACAAAATATAATATATATCTCGTACATCATGTAAGCAGTAGAATGGAGTAGCAAAATTTCATATCTTTCCAACAAATGGACATTTTCACACACACAAAAAGGAAAATATAAAGAAGTTATAAAGTAGCATTAAATCTTTTATTCTAAGGCATAAAATTAATAGGTAATTTAGCAATAGTTTCCTGTGCATCTTAAATAGAGCTTCAGGCTCAGTAATGGTTTAGATTTATGCTTGCTGGTTCTGCAAATGATCAGCCGGGTGCTTCAGGGGGACCTCCTAACTCTGGGCTGACATACTTCATATCAATTTCAGAGGCCTGAGTATTTTTCATTTCCTCCTAGAATCCGCCCCGCTTATCCCACAAGGTTTCCCATTTTCCCAGAGTCCTCCACAGTATGAAATATAACGTTTCAATTCAACAGTGCACTTCACCTTTTCTGGTCACTCCCTTAAAGTAATAATGTGTACTTGAGCCTGCAGCAATAATACCAGCTCATACCCCACAGTGATGACGTCCTGGTCCTTCTACTTTGTCTCTAATATTAGAATGTAAGTCTTCAAGGGCATCAACATTGTTTTGTTCCTTAGCTTTTCATTTCCCTTCATCTTTCCCTCCATAACTAGCCTTGCACAATGTACGCAGTGAGTACATACTTATGTTTCCCCAGGGCAGACCCAGCGGTGTGCTGGAGCTGCCTCATTCAGATTGTAGGAGCCAACTGAGCAATATTCAAGAACTCCATGAGTTGCCAGCTAAACCACTGGTGTCTTGAAACCAGCCATGGTGTTGGTATTGAAACCACTGAAAATGGCAAAGGCTCTAAAGTCTAAGACAAAACCCCTCCCCCAAGCCATTTCACCAACACCACTGTCCACAGCTCAGGGCTGATGTGGTTCTGGGCAGCGCAGAGTGCTGGCAGAGCCCCGAGTCACTAAGCTGCCACCTGCTCCCAATGCTGCATCTGGGAAATGCCCAACCAGCCAAGAGAATTTTGATCCCGTACTTCTCTCTTTGTAAGTTTTGTCTGTAAAATTTAGCATTCATATTAAACTTATTGCACGAAAGGCACCAGTCCAAGTGTATAACTTATGAGCACATTTAATCCACACAACCATCTCATGAGCACTTCACAGATGGGAAAACAGAGGTATGAATTTAAGCAACAGCTACAGAGAAGCATAGCACTCCCTGTATGAACCCAGGCAGTCTGCTCCAGAGAACCTTCTGGTGCAGTTTCTTACTAGTCAGTGAGTACAGGGTTAATGTAACTGTGTGACTTATTCCGCTTCATATCCACAATGCCTACCAAAGCTCCTGCCTTTTAAATGAATGATTCTCTGATACCTCAGTCTACTTCATGTCACTGAACTTTCAGCTCAGGATGTCTTCAGACAGTGTTCACTCAATGGTACCTCAATAAATTCTGAATTTTATAGATAGGGTAGAACACAAAAATGCAAACCTGCTCTTTATGGTACAATAGAAAAGATTACTGAGGGATATATATCTCAAATTAAGCACTCAAAATAATGACTGTGTTCTACGGTTTCTTGGTCAACTGGGGGGAAACATCCATATGCTTTGGGATCTCATGTTCAGTAGGAGATGAAATAAATTACAAACCCTAAAATAAACCTCCTAAGAAAATGTAAATTTGCATGGCTCAACAGCCTGCTCATTGCTCACTCTGGTTGAAAATCAACTTTGTTGTTTTCCTTTTCAAGTAACTTTACCAAGTTTTTGGAGAAAATGACTATGCACCATTTATTCAAAAGCATTCCTTGCCATCTGCTGTGTGCCCAGCCATTCTACGGGTTGTGGGTTGTGGAGGGGCAGAGTAGAATAGGGTGGGCAAGTATGCAGCAAGGTAGGAAAGTGGTCAACTATACTATGAGTTCCATCCAAGGAAGATGAAGTAACAAGGGGTTGCATTGGTTCTAGAATTTCCTTTCCCCACTAGTCCAAACTAGTCCAAATGGGATGCAGTTGTTCATCACCTGCAGATTATCAACCCTTATGCTATTTCTTTCAAGATGCCAAGTGAGAGGCAGAAGATCTTATGCTTCTTGCTGGTCAGCAAGATACACACTAGCAGAAGTTGCATGGGTAAAGAGTTGCCCACTACAGTCCTCTCCAAGGCCTTCCTAATAAGGAACAGAAATATTCTTTTGTTATTAAATTTTCAATTATAGGCCATTCCATTGCACCACGAGAAAGCTTTATGAGTTTCCTTCTTGAAGAAACATGGTCTGTATAACTATAGACCATGAATTGCATTCATTTTGTTGATTTCAAAAGACCATATTTTGTCTTCATAAAAATTTTCTCTACTGCCAACTATTTTCTTTTCCACAAAGCTTTTGGTATTTTTTTTTCCTTCGTCATTTTCTGTTTATTTCTCATTCATTCTCAGCAAATTATCCTTTCTCTGAAAGGTCATACAAAAAAAATCAAAGCAATTTACATGAACAGCAATAATTTAGTTGAAAGAAGTCAAAAAGTCCAACAGAAGGGAATTAATTATAAGACTCTAATATCCCAAGGTTGGCAAACTGTGATTCCATTTTGGACCACATTGATTTGGCCTCGTAATTTTTAAATGGATCATGAAAAGATGCCTGAGAGTATATGTTTATACACAACCAGATTTTCGTGACAAAAATTTTTCCAAGTTTGGGTTTGTATTTAGTGATAAGTTTTTCCACATTTGTGTCCAGCAATAGAAAACCATATCATTACTGATTTGTTTTCTTAACAAGTATATGTAGTGGGGAATGTTCTAGGAGCTTTGGCTACACAGGGCAGACAATAACCTCTATATTATGAATATTTGTTTATTTTCCACAAATTCTTACATATTTACTTCCCAAAGATAAGCCACATCAACCTACAGTTTCTTCGTGAAGGAATTGATGTAGTCACCAAAGTTGACAACTAGAAGCATCTTATTCCAGTATTTAAAGTGAATGTTATCTGCACAAGCCCCAGTAATTACAGTAATTATAATGAAGAAAGCTCAAGTGCCCCATCTCATTGAGAGACAGGAAGAGTCAGTAGATATAAATGACAAATGTCCTTCCCTTAGAGCCACACCACATTCAGAATTGCCCTTCTGTGGATGGGGATGTAGCTCAGTGTGGACCACTTGCCTAGAATGTGTGAAGCCCCTGGTTTAATCCCCAGCAGCATAAAAAAAAATGCCATTTAAAAAGGTTTCACTATACATATTTTATACAACATAACAGAAAATGGTAGTATTTTAATCATCCAACCATTCCTTCATTACTGTAAGTTACAATTTGAAGTGAGAGAAAATTTACCCACAACAAATTTTTACTCACCGCAGGAAGCATATGAAAAATGTTCTCTCCGATCGGGATTGTTCTTTTACTTTCCACCTCGTAGCTCATGTTAGTTCCAACAGGAGTGTTATTTTGAGAAACCACGAAGTTTTGAATAGCATCACAACAGGAAGTAAGTTTTGCTCTGCAATGGGTAAGATGGAAAGTGAGCTGAGGAAAGAGACTAGGAAACCAAAAATAGAGACCACAGTGGAGAAGGCGAGAGAGGAGCTCCACAGGCTGACTTTCCAAAGGTGGACAAAAGACAGGGTAAAAATGGCAGGGAGCATGCTGAAACAGACCCGGTAGGAGGTCTTCTCACCAACATAAAATACTCAGGAGAATAACATTTGTAAATATGAAAACATCCTGTAATGATGTTATTATAATATTAGAAAGAAAAAAAATGAAAGAATACATGAGAGCACTCTCCTTCATCCTCAGTTTCAATTGCTCCATGTCAATTGCAATCCAAGAATATTAATATTGGTCTTGACTCTTTCAAAGGAGAGGGACCATATTCATATAATTTTCATTATAGTCCGTTGTTATAATTGTTCTTTTTATTATTAGTTATTGTTATTAATCTCTTACTCCTCCTAATTCATAAATTAACCTTTATCTTAGGTGTGTATGCATAAGAAAAGCAAGGTAAGATAGAGTTTTGAGTCATCCACTGTGGGCTTTGTGATGTATCCCCTGAGGATAAAGGGGGAAGACTGTATAATTATTTTACAATAATTATAAAAATACAGAAACTAAGAACAGTGTCACCATCACTGGAACAACACACAATCAATTTGTAGGAGACACAGCCAAGGTAAAGAAACGCCATTAAATATACTGATTTTTAAGTGAAATGAATGTAAACTTATAATTCCTTACTGGAAGCCCAGAAAATGTTAATTAGTATCAAGCTGTACTTCAAAATTATTACTGTAGAATGAAACATTATTTTTAGAATGCAGATCCAGCAAGGTGTTTTCAAGGATCATCTGAGTTAGCCCTCAGCCTGTAGCAGGTGAAATGTCAAATTGCTCAGGATTTATATTTTGTCTAATTTTTTAATTCTCCAGGGACATAGATTCCAAAACATCTCTTGATAAATTATTCCAGGGTTTAATCAACCTCAAAGTCTGGGGATTTTTCCATTTTCAGAACTAAACCAGATCTTAAATCCCTTTGCTCTGATAGTTCATTTTATGGAGTTTTCTCTTAGGAACACCATATAATTGGAAACAGTAATCAAACATTTGATTGACCTTTCAATCTTGACAGAATTTCCTCTTCTCTCAGATTTTTCCTAATAAGAGTAGTTTTCCATTATCTTAGTCACCTTGTTCCTCTTTAAACCCTGACTTATTTCTCCATGTTACTTTAAAAATATGTATGCAAGCCGGATACCACCATGGGAGAACAGACAGTGGGTCTTCTGCTAGAGCTGACTTCAGTGACATTGATTATAATTGGTCCTTTCCCATTATACACTTTTATTACTGGTTCTTGGTTCTTCAGGGCATACTGTTGTATACGTTCCTACTGAATTTTGTCCTTTTGAAAAAAATACAATGCTCTAATTTGTCATGCTCATTTTAAATTCAGTCTTTCTGAATTCTGATAATTCTTAAGGGATGAAAGTCAAGGTGGTATTATTTGTACCCCAAGGTCAAGGTTTTCAAAAGTGCTTTACATTATCAGTTAACTTATTTCACAAAAATGTACACTTTCCCCCTTTTTTCCCATATTTTGTATTGGTGCATAACAATTATACAAAATAGTGGGACTCATTGTGGTATATTCTTCTTAATTGAATTCTGTAAACTGCTTATTCCTTTTTGTGTTTTAAAACCTATCATTTCTGAAGGAGAATTCATGGAGATTAACAAAAGAAACAATAAAAATGAAACGATGCATAGTCAACAACATGGTACTAAGTAGTATTTAATTATAAATTTAATTTGGTAGCAATTCATGTGACACATTGCAAACTCAGAAACTTTTATGTGTTTATGATTTTAAGTGTCTCTTTTATCCAGCTTTTTGAGAAACTGAAATGTAATAAATTCTCATTTACCTTTGACAAGTAACTTAATGTCTTTAAGGATATTTTGTGCTTATAAGAATATTGAATCACCAAAAACATTAACCAGAGTTCCCATGGTGCTTTTTTATATTAATAATTTTTTTTCTGAAATTATATTTTTAAAAATATTGTTATAAAATTTTCAAACTTACAGGAAAGTTGAAAAATTGGAAACTGGGCACCAGCTATATTTTATGATTGACTTTTTATTAATTCTGCCTTATTGTGTATCTATCTACCAATTTTTGTTGTAGTTGTTGCAATTCAAAATAGACTGCTGTCCTCAGTACACTTCACCTCCAAATGCTTCCTACCTCTCTCTACTCCCTTCTCAGTCATACAGGCAACCATTTTTGTGGTTTCTAACTTTTTTAACCACAGGTCAGTTTTGCCTAATATAATAAAGAGAATCATATAGTAAATGTGATTTTGTGTAAGACTTCCCTTATAGCCTAACCGCTTTGGCAATTCATTCTGTGTTGCACATTTTTATTGCTACAATCATATTCCATTTTATGGATGTACCAGAGAGAGGGTAGCCAACCTCCTTATACTTTTTAAGAAATCACTAACAACAAAAAATTTAAATACCTAATAATGCATAATAATCTGCTGGGAAAAATATCAGCATAATAATCTGAAATATCATTTCTGAAGCCTTCCTTTAGTCACAAACTAATTAAACTTTTTAAGTCTGTGTATTCTGCTACAGAATGATAAATGTATGCATTTTGTCACTCCTCAGCTATTACTCTGGCTCAGAGTAACAGCCAGTGGCAACATAAAACCGAGCTGCTTATAATCAACAAAATAAAACAGATTAAAAAAAAAAAAAAGATCTCTGTTATTCCATTTCTATCAGCCTCAGGAGAATCAACTCTGATCTTTGGTCACTCCAAAATGAACTAGATGTGTTCACAATAATGAGAATGGCAATTCTTCCCTTCTTGTGAACAAAAGGTGGAGATATTATGAGATGGAGAATACTGTTAGTGTTAATTGGAAAATCCACCATTTCCATGATGCCCAAACTATCTCTAATGTGAAGTTCCACACTCCACAAGAGTTGGTGTCCAGCCAGCTTGACAGGGACAAGCCAAGCATCCACAAAGCACTGTATTCTTTCCACCACATTTGCACATTCATTGCCACTTTGATTCCCACTTTGTAGAGGCAGAAAATACTATTATTTTCATTTCACAGATGAGAAAACTGGGGATGAGAGACAGTAAATGATATGACCAAAGAATTCAGGTTATAAACAACTCAAATCTGCATCTTACGATAATAAGTTCTTGATAGTTTACACGAGAGTATATTGAAATTGTGAATAATGCTGTCACTTACTCCTCTTCCTTTGGAATGCTTTCCAAAATGGTACCATGATATAATAGTCATTCATAAGCAAAGTGATCCAAGCATCATCTGGCTGCACAATCTGCCTAGTCACAACCCAAAAGCTACCATATCATTTATACGTACGTTAAATGCTTCAAAAACTCTATCCAGATATAATTAAACATGAACTTTTGTTTTCCATACAGGATGTACAGGGTTCTCTGTGGGACCAGGGATATCAACTGATCTGGTCAATGTGCCCTAAACACTTGCTGGGTCCCACATGTAGCAACTTCCTTCCCATAACCCAGGTTCAAAAGAGAACATACGGTTCATCCCCCGCCCCCAGAAAAGAATCAGGATTCCCTGGACTGCACCGAGTTCCAGAATTCAGAAGAATTTGTGTACTTCCCAAAGTGCCTAACTTTCAAGGAATAGGTTGGTCTGGGTAGAATCCAGCTTCCTATTTTTAATCTTGATCTATAAATATGGAATCTGAAAATGTACCAACTCATTTTGTATCCCAGATGGTCTAATAAATACACTTTTAAGAAAAGGATATTTTTTAAGTTTATAGAAATTCCTTTTTCTTTTTCACCACAAGTGCTATTTCCTTTGTTTTTATTTTTGGTTTCCTTATTTCATTCATTTAGAGTCTCAGGTCAAAATTGTCTTTTAGTTCTAAATGGAATGCTACCTGGATTTTCATGAAATGTTAATGACTCCTTAAGGCTTATAGCAGTCAGGACACTATTGGACACACTGAATACTAACGACCTCCAGCTCTGAGCCCATGGTTCCCAGGCATCTCTTCTGTTTATTAAACTCTTTGAGATTCCCTAATGAGATGTGGGCCACTCAGGGCGGTGGGGCGGGGAGAGGCTGCAGGCACCTTCTAAGTATTAACAAAGAACTACCATTCTAGGATTCATTCTCTGTGCTTCTAATGAGAGTCCTGGAAAAGGAGCTTCAACGTAAAAGCACCTGCGGAAATGCGAAGGACATGCTTGCCATTCTAACCGTTTCTAATAAAGCAACCCATTTTTCCCCTTCATGAAACCACAGCATACTGGGCAAAGTGATATACCAACTGTCCCTCTTAAGATCCCTTTCATTTCTTTTAAATTTATAACAAACAGAAATTTGATGGCCCTTTCTGGTTGCCTTTCCTCTGGTCCCACCCTACATTATACAATTCACAAATTGACCAATAATGCCAATAACAAACACCTACTGCAGTCTCACTATGTGCTGAATATTTTATGTAGGTCATTACATTTAAGCCCTCTGATAATCCAACAAAATATATACAATCAAAAATTCCCCTTTCACAATTGAGGACCACTCGGGATCACAAAGTTAAGGTCACAGATCACATATTCACTCATTCGTTCGTATTTGTTTAGCTTCTATGAAATACTGAACACTTTGAGGGGCTGTCCACACTCTGGTGAACAAAATGATTGTTTACTTTGCCTTCTTAGTGTTTATGATCTAGTAGGGAAGGTTAAAAGGATGAATTGTAAGGTACTAAGCAGGATTAAAACTCAGAACTGAAGTCCTTACTCTTTTCCCAGTGGAATTTTCTAGAACACTCTCAAGTTCATAATTAGAAGCACTTAATAAAGAGGGCTGTGCGAGCTCAGAGGGTCTTTCTACTATTATTCATGTCAATCATGTAATAGACCCCATGCTCACCTCCTCACTGTCATCATGCCCCAGTG